CAGAAAGAGGACATGAGGGAAAAGCTGAGGAAATTGGAATACACACGTACCTCAGTTAGTAATAATGTGTCATTGTCGGTTCATTAATTGTAACAAACGTACCGCACGCTTGTAAGATGTTAATAATTGGGGAGACCGGGGTTTGGGGTCTATGGGAACACTATACTCTCTCTGCAGTTTTTCCATAAATCTAAAACTGTTCTGAAACATAACGTTTATTAAAAAAGGAAGTTGAGGAGGGCTCTGGCTCAAGCTGGAGTCTAGGTAACAGCACCGGCTTTGATCCCGGTCTGGACAAATATGTCAGGGAGTCAGATGTGACCGTGAGAGCAGGTGGGGGCGGGTCATGTGAGAACTCTCTGTACTGTCTGTGCAACTTGCTGTCAATCTGAAATCACTTCAAAATAAAAAGTATCTATATTTTTATAAAGTGAAGAATGCCCTGCTGTCCTTGTGGTTCCTTGTACCTCACCTGGCCACTACTTTCCAGGTAGTGGCGTGGGTGTGGATTGGACACCCTGGGGGGCTCCCCTGCCTCTGCCTGAGATGATGGAAGGGTATCAAGTGCTGCTGGGGTCTGCACTGGCAGGGGCTCTGCAAATGCCCTCCCGTCTCTGCAAGGGGTGGGGAGGTGATGGAAAGTACCAGTGTGAATCAGGGTTCTCCCAACAAACAGAACCAATAGGATGTGTGTGTGGAGAGAGAAGGAGATTTACTGTAAGGAATTGGTTCAAATGATTATGGAGGTGGGTAAGTCCAAAATCTGCAGGGTGGGCCAGCAGCCTGGGGCACCCAGGAGGAGCCGATGCTGCAGTTGAAGTCTGAAGGCGTCTGCTGCAGAATTCCCTCTTGCTCAGGGGAGGTCAGGCTTGTGTTCTGTTTAAGCCTTCAACTGATTGGATGAGGCCCACCACATTGTGGAGGGCAATCTGCTTCACTCAAGTTCCACTGCTTTAAATGTTAATCTCATCCAAAAATACCCTCACAGAATCATCCAGAATAATGTTCAACCACATATCTGGATGCTGTGGCCCAGCACAGTTGACACACAAAATTAACCATCACATCCCATCCCTTGCCAAAAGGCACCCATACACATCCCCTGAAACCATATGCAGTCTCTGGTTAAAGACAACACCAAGGGCATAGTCACGACTAACATGATAACGGCAGCCCTGCGGACAACCAGAAATGCCCTAACTCTTTCCCCGAGGGGGACTGGTAATGGTGAGAGTGGGCCTGGCAGGGCTGTGGCTGGATGCGTGGGACGTGGCCTCTCCTTGGTATGCACACTCTAATCCCTACTTTTCTCTGCTCTTCCTTTCACATTTGTCACATTTCTGTCACCCGGGAGCAGTGTCGTGTCTGTCCCACGGCCCCCTGGCCAACCACCCTGACCTGTGTCCTGCCTCTGGTGTGAAGCTTGTGATCCTGGGCGCCGCATTCCGTCAGTCAGGGTGTGAGCCAGCAGGGAAGGGGACGGGGCTGCCTCTGGGCAGCAGGGAGCATGGCCTTTCTTTGCAGACTTAGAGCTCTGTATTGCTTTTTTAAAATCTGATACGCTTTATTTGAAATAAAATTCAGCACTTGTCTCCTTCCCAAAAAAGTTAAAAATGATTTCCTAAAGTTAAAAAAATGAGACAGAATTATTTGAAGGTGTGTCTGAGGGAAATATTTGAAGTTAGTTTATAACTATATTGTTGCTGCCTCTGGGCCCCCCTCTGTGTTATTACAATCTGAATTGTATATCATTTAATGTAGCATTTAAGGACACGTCACTCACGTGTGTTACCAAGCATACAATGTAGCAGACACGCATGCCCTTGGCAGCCAACCCAGGATAGAGCTAACCCACACCCACCTGCCCCGTGTGCTGTCCCCAGAGGCCACCACTGTCCTGAACTTGGTGTTGGTCATTCACTTACTAGAACAGTTTCATCTCATGACTGTGTACCTTAAAACAATACGTTGTTGATTTTGCTTATTGGTTTAGCTTTATAAAAATGGCATCATTTCATATAGCCCATTTTATATATATCAGTGTATCATTTCATATTGATTTTTTGTTTGATTTGATTTTCGAAGATGCATCTGTGCTACGAGTGTGGCTGAGGTCGGGTTTTAAGCTGATGGGTATTCCATTGTACAGCCACACCTGCACCACGCTTCATTTATCCGTTCCCTTGTCCATGCACCTGGGCATCCTCAGACATTGGTAAAGGTCCCGGAGCCTGCATGGGACTGTTTCCTGGGGCTTTGATCTAGGAGTGGTGCAATTGCTGGGTCATAGGGGAAGCTAGTGTCCCTCTCTGCAAACATTTTTGGTGCCGATCTAGCCCCTCTCTAGGAGGAAAAGCAACTTCTAGTTGTTCTGCGTTCTTGACAGTATTTGGAGTGTGGGGAGATGAGGTGGGCAGGCCCTCAGATGTAAAGGATACCAAGGTGAATTTGAGTTTCTCTGATTACTCACAAGGTCGACCTTCTGACCAGTTCTCATTCACCATCTTTCTTTTTTCAGCAAAGCGCCTATTCTTATCTTTTGTTCATGTTTCTGTTGCTTTCTCCTCATGGATTTGTGCAAAGTTCTTTATGCACCCTGAGTTGTGAGGCCTGTTCACTTGCATGTGTGCTGACGACTTAGACTGTGTGACGGCCTCTGGACGGACATGTGTCCTCACTGCGCCGTACTCAGAAGCGTCCCTTCCTCCTTTTTGCTGGTGCTTTTTATATTTTCAGAGTTTTTCTCCCACTCAGATTATTTAGATCATCTCCTACATTTCCTTCTAAAATTTCCTGTCATTTTGCTTCTCATGTTTAAGTCCTTATTTTTGAGGGGACAGATATGTGTATGGAGTGAGGCCGGTGCCTTAGTCTGCTCCAGCCGCCGTAACAATACCCTAGACTGGGGGCAGATTCTCATGGCTCTGGAGGCCAGAGGTCTGAGATCAAAGTGCCGGCAGGGTTGGGTCCGGGGGAGGCCTCTCTTCCTGGATCTCAGACGACTGCCTTCCCGCTATGTCCTCACGTGGTGGAGAAGGACCTCTAGTGTCTCTTCCTCTTCTTATGAAGACACTAATCCCACCATGGAGGCCGCACCCTCATGACCTCATCTAACCTTGATTTCCTCCTTAGAGACCCCATCTCCAAGGAGAGCCACCCTGGAGGTTAGGCTTCAGCATAGGAATCTGGGGGGACACAGACATTCAGTCAGTAACAGCAGGATCTGGGTTTTTCTCCTTCGTGCTCCACGGCGGTGCAGGTCATGTGGGGCTCTCTGTCCTGTCCGCTTGGCAAGCATGTCCAGGCTGCTGTGGGCTCTCTAATATGCCTTGGCCTCTGCTAGGACGTCTTTGAGTTTCTTATTTCCAGTGGCTTTAATCAAATTTAAAGGATATCCAGTTGGGCATATTTTTAGACGTCAACGTGGCGTGTGCGTTGGGCTCAAGAAGGAGCCAGAGCCTTGGTGCTGGTGTGTCTGCGTCTGACCAGCTCAGCTCTGCCTGTGTCTTTGTTTCTGTCTCTATCACTCTCTCTGTGGGAATGGCCAGGGGGTGTGAGTGCCACACAGAGGGAGGGTCAGTCCTGTGGACGTTCGCAGGGACCAGGGGGCCAGGCTTCCCCCAAACCAAGCCAAGTGGCTGGAAGGGCCAGGGGTAGCAGGATGCACCCTGTCATCTGGTCAGAGGCCCTGAGGGGTCACCAGAGACTCTAGCCCAGGGGCAGATGGACTGAGGGCGCTGCTGCTCCCGGTGGTGTTTGCCCCGGTGGACCCCAGGCCTGAAGCCCAAGGTGTGGACTCAGAGGTGGGTGGAGTGGGAGGGGCGAAGGCTGGTGCTGCCTCCAGCCTGGCCCTGTTCTCATCTGGGTGTCGGCCGAGAGCCTGTGGCAGGAAATTTTGAGGGTTCTCCAGGCAACACTTGGGTCTCTACCAAATCCCCCCAGCTTTGGGGCTCCTGAGGCTCCCGGAGGGATCCAGACTTCTTGGTCTCTCCTCCTCCGTCTCCCGCTGAAAAGGAGAAAAGTAGGTTTTGCAATTGCCGTGACCTGATTTCACAGGTTCCAGCCAGAGCTGGTAATTTGCTTATTTTAAAAACATTCCGTTACAATTTCCACATTAGTATGTTCGTGGCACTTCCATGACTCTCATGAAAGTCGCTTTTACTGTGGAACTTTATAAAAGCACAAAGCTTCCCGTTGTATCCTGAATATTTTGTTTCCACGTACATTCATTTCAAAGGGTTTTGAAGGAGCAGAGTTAGAAGCATTTTAAGGAAGAATGAAACCAACCGTTCTTGTTATATGTTTAGCTCTGGCATTTTTAATGAGTGGTGTTCTTCCTTAGAAGTTTGAATTACTGAATGCACGCTGTGAAAGCGATGTTTTTGGTAACTTGCAGTTCGCTTTGCTTTCCTTCTGCCCACAGGTTTGTTAGGCTGAGGGGGGCTCGGGCAGGGGCTCCCTCATGTCCGGCTGAGGGGTGGAGTGGTGCTGGCTGAACGCTGCGTTTCAGGCTAGCCGAGGATCCAGCGCTGTAGCCGCTGCCCCTCCACTACAGTCGGGCGTAAATATCACAGCCACTCACAGCCACCTGAACCACGTCCCTGTGTGGAAAAGGGGCCTGGTTTTCATGCCCTGAGGGAAGTCGGGGGAAAGGAAAGAAGCAGGAGAGCACGCGGGGCCTCGGGTGATGTGACGGCCTCGACCCTCCACGGGCAGCATCCTCATGGTGACTCCCGGCCGCCCGGCTGCTGTCTGGGGGCTCTCCGTCTCTGTCCTCCACACCTGGGCTGGCGTCTCCAGCAGCCACGGCTGTGACATGAGACTCATGTGAGGAGAGGCAAGGAGGGAGTGGCCGCCAGGGAGGCTGTCACTTCGGCTCTGGCTTCCCGCGGCTCCGGCCACCTGGACGGGAGCAGCCTGTCCCGCCTGCACTGTGCGTGGTGGAGTGGGGCTAACAGGCCGCTGTGCTGTTTCTTACACTTTTCCCACATCCTTTCTAGAATCGATCTACCGCCGTGGAGCCAGAAGATGGAGGAAGCTGTATCGCGCCAACGGCCATCTCTTCCAAGCCAAGCGCTTTAACAGGGTGAGTGTGCGCCTGGGGTGCGCTAGTCGAGGGCTGTCCACGTGCCCGTGTGCAGAGAGCAGGGGAGTGCTTTCTGCCGCTGGCGGGCTGGGCTTGGTCAGTGCACAGCGGACAGGCTGTCCGGGGCGGGTCCCAGAAACACTTTCTCTCCATCACGGATGAGCCTTTTACAAGGTTTCCTGGGCCCGTGAAGGTTCCAGTTCAGGTCTTTTGGCAGATGGTCGCTGCTTGATGAATGCAGTCTGTGCGTCTCGGGGCTCGCTGGGCCGTCCCTGGTCGTGTAATCCTTTGTCGGGGACCCTGGCTTTGAGGTCCTGGCCTGCTGGCGTCCAGAAGCGGGACTGGGGATTTGATGAACACCACCAGGCTGCGTGTTGTGCTGCACACAGTGTTTCCTGTTGGCTGCAAGCATCTCCTGTGAACCCTGGAAGCCCCAGACAGCCCCCAATCTCTGCCACCCACCTGGCCCCACCGCCCACCCATTCTGAAGGGCACTTTAGCATAGTTTCCATCATTGCTCTTCATGATGCCTTTACATTCTCTAGAAATGACGTGATTCACGTGGCTTTGTAATTGTTCCATTTCACCATGGAAGAAAAGGTGCCTCTGGCTGAGGACGGTTAGTGTCCGGGGGCTGCCAGAACAAAGCACCACAGCCTGGGGGCTGAAAACAGACTCACGCTCACAGTCTGGAGGCTGGAAGTCCAATGCCAGGGTGTCGGCAGGGCCACGCTCCCTCTAACGGCTCTAGGGGAGGGTCCTTCCTGCCTCTTTCCAGCTTGTGCTGTGCCGGTGTCCCTTGGCGTTCCCTGGCCTGTAGCTGCAGCACTGCATCCTCGGCCTCTGCCTGCACACGGCCTTCTCCCTGCGTCTGTGTCTGTTCTCGTAAGGACTCCATTCACAACTAGGGCCCACCCACTCCAGTGTGACCTCATTCTAACTTGACTAACTACATCTACAAAGATACTTTTTTCCAAATAAGGTCACATTCTGGGGTTCTGAGTGGACATAAATTTGGGGGACACCACTCAACCCACAACAGCAGCCAAGCACGTGCTCACCTGGGGGCCTTTGCACATGCTGAGCTCCCTGCCCGGCCCACATTCCTTCCTCCACATCTTCAGAGCTCATTCTCTCCCTTACTTTCTGTCTCGGCTCTGTGCCCTCCACTCACATACGCTCCTGATGTTCCTCATGGTGTGTGCCATCTCCCCACTGGGCATAGCACTCTGGGCACAGGGACTCTGCCCTGTTCAGGCTGTGTCCCCACACCTGGCACATAGTAGGTACACACTACTTGTTTATTATAATTAATGACTGGAAGATAGTCAGCTGGGGGAGACCTGGGGGTGCTGCACTGGGAACCAGGAATGGGGTGTGTCCATCAGGAATAAGAAGGCCCTGGGAACCAAGGTGGGCGGCGGGAGAGCACAGAGTCCACAGAATATCGGATGCCTTGGGGAGATCGGACGTCACAGAGCAAGAAGCTGTGGGAGGACACCGAGTGCCAAGTGCTGCTGTGGCCTGGGGACAGAGGGTGAAGGATGCATGAATGATGGACCTTTATCGAGTTTCTGGGTGACAGAGTGACTGACCAGGTGTGGACATGAAATTTTGCAGTGAGCCGACCAGACAGACAGGATGAAACCTGGCTGCTGAAAATATGGAGAAATGGAAACTGTCAGCCCCCGGGAGGCGAGGCGCCCACTGCCCCACCTTGTGTTTATTTTGCCAGCCAAATGGCTTCTCTTTCTGTGCATCTGGGCACTGGCTCCATTCTGGCCATAGAGGGGTCTCAGGCAGATGGGACGAGCCACCCTTTGGGCTATCAGAGAGAGGGTTCTAGAAGCCCCGTGCCCCATATTAGCTTTCGGTGAAATGCTTGTTTCCTTCATTGCTGGCTGACTCACTGGTCCAAGGTGAAGCCCACCCACCCAACGAGACAGGCTGGGGCCCGGGCAGTGCAGAGGGGTCTGGCCTCTCCCACCGTGCAGGTTTTTGGGAGAAAGACCCATTTCTGTGATTGCAGAGTGCAGACCCTGACACTCCTTCCCCACTGCCTGCCCCTCCTGCCGCCCCCTCCCCAAAATCAGTGAGCAAAGGCTTTTCCTCCCCGTGGAGGAGCGGGGCTCGGCCGGGCTACCCACTATAGCCCCCGGCCCCATCCCATTACAGATGCTCAGCTGTCCCCAGAGTGCCAGTGAGTGGCTTTTCACAAATTCGGAGGGGCTGAGAGCCGACTCTTAGATCGTTCAGTTGTTTGCGGACGGGGGGCCGGGTGTGCCTGCACCCCACTGCTGTCCTTGCGTTCCAAGTTCCATATCCTGCACAGACCCTGGAGGCTGCTCAGTGCTGCTCACTCTGGGTTAATCACAGGGCTGTGCAGCGCACCTCCACTTGTCTCTGGGAAGTGATGTTTCAAGAGCTACACGTGGGGTTCTGCGGGAATCAGCAAGACTTAGGGGAAAAGCCCACAAGAGGAGATCATTTCTCACGTTCTTTACTGGTGACCCAAGGACGGAAAGTGAGTGGGTGTCAGTCACACCGGCCCGACACTTCCTGCGTAGATCTTTAGTCATACGTGACACAACTTCTCTTCCAGAGCAACGAGAAAAGTTCAGCTGGTGAATCAAAGGGAGAGAGCCCATGAGTTTCTGGGAAGGAGATGAGGAGGGCAGCCTCCACCCCAGAAGAGAGAGCCTGGTGGCATGGATGGGGGATGGGGAGGCCCAGTCTGTGGGACGGAACTGATGGTCAGAGCCTGGCCCTGGGAGCCCCGGGGCATGAGCATTTCCCGTAAAGGAGTGGAGGGGCTGTCCAGTAAATTGTGATGAGACAATTGGTTAACTATGGTGCTGGGAGGGAGGAGTCCAGGTCCTTTGTTCACATCAAAGTCACAAGTGGATTAATGTTAGAATAAATCCTAAAAACGTGGAGACGATGCAGCTGCCTGGGAAGAAACTGGGCACGGAGGACCAGAGGGGAAAGGAGTCTTTAGGTTTGGCCATGTATTCATTTCAGGCGTCTGCAGTTTCCAAACAAATTAGATGCAAAAACACGCAGGAAAAACGTTTGTAACAAATAAAACCTGGAGTAAGAGATCAAAACAATAAAAGAGCCTCCGCACATCGGCTTTTTTGGTAAATGCTAAGAGTCTAAAGGTAGGCAAGGATCTAAATGGTTAATTAAATAAGAACTGAAACTGTTCATAAATGTAGGTGGCTTAACCGTCATTGGTAATCAAAGAATTGCAAGACATTTTCCCCGTCAGAGTCAAAGACGTTAAAAGTCATTAGTGCTCAGTGTTGCTGTGTGTGTGGCAATGGGGTCCACTCCCTCCTGTGGGGTGCAGACATGGACCCCTACTTTCTGGAAACCAGTTGGGAAATATGCGTCAGTGGCTCTAAGATGCTCCTGTCCTGCAGTCCTCTGCAAAGCATCTGTCCAAAAGAAATCTGACGTTCAAAGGTTTGCATATGAGGAAGATCAGCTCAGTGTTGTTTTCACAAGTGGAGACAGTATCTGAACTTACTGTTACTCCCTTTGCTGTGTAACAAACGACCCCATTCAGGGGCCTCAACCACAGCCCTGGAGCTGCTGGAGGAGCCTCTGCTGGTGGCAGGTGGACCCCTCGTGCTGCAGGCCCAGCTGGGTGGACAGTCCAGAGACTCTGGCCTTTAATGTGAGTTCACAGGAAGCAGAGAGTCGACGCGCTCACCTGGGTCCTTGTAGGGTGGGGAAGATACGCTAGGGAGCGAGGGTGGGACAGGGAGACCAGTTCTGAAGACACTACCCCAAAGCGGCCACACCACTCAAGGATTTCTCTTACACTTTCTGGTCTGAACAACTAGTAGAGCAGCAGTTAGCAAGATTTCCTGTACAGGGCCAGAGAGTAGTTGTTTTAGACTTTGTGGGCTACAAGGTCTCTGTTGCAACTACTCAACTCTGCCATTATAGGGCGAAAGCCCCCACAGACAGTATGTAAACAAATGAGCCTAGTTGTGTTCCAATAAAACTTTATTTACAAAAACACGTGGTGGGCCATATTTGGCCCTCAGCTATCATTTGCCCACCCCTAGACTAGAAGATTGGAGTCACCACTTGGTTCCTGATCAACGCCATGATGAGAGGAACAGGTTTGGGGCCTAGTGTGAGACCTCCTCCCCACCCCGCATTGGCATGAAGTTGGGTACAGAGGATGGAGGAGAAATGAGGCTGCCTACCCGGGGCAGCAGAGTGGCTCCTTATACCTTATGTGAGGAGGAGGGGGACACACTTCCTGAGAATCTGAAGCTTCAAGCTGGACCTCACACACACTGGTAGCCCAAATCTGCACAGCTGGATGGGCCCAGGCTGGCAGAAGCAAACAGTGTTTCTCTTCAGCCCAGCCTCAAAGGATTCCCACAGGTAAATGAACAGAACACCTGAGCTCGCAGTCAGAAACCACGAATTGCAGTGGGAAAAGAGGCGTCCAGAGCACGAACTGCAGAAACGCAGACCAGAGGCTTAGACTGACTGCAGTAAAGGGAGTGTTTAGTGCGATCGAAAAACTGAAACCAGTGATTGAAAATATGAGCGAGGAGCCAATGTGGCAGCACGTAAGAGAGACTTAAAAATATTTTTTCCCTTACTAATTTATTAATTCATGTGAATTTCTGAGAATAGAAGCTTGGATTTTAAGTTTTGTTTTATTTTTTAGTGGCACATCTCCTGAAATGTTAATATTTCAGGTGTATATTTGGAATAAAGGGCCTTTGGCAGCGTCGTGGCAGCCTCTCCTGAGGCGCTCCTGCGTGTGGTCTCCAGGTAGTTGGTGCTGATGCCCGGCAAATTCACGCTGCCACCTGTCAGCAGTCGTCCTGGCCTGGCCCCTGGTGAGGGTGACTCTTAGGGAAGGGATCTTTGTCCATTTGTAAAGGCACCAGGAGGCTGTGAATTTGCCACTAAATATGACCCAAGTGTTACAGATCAAGTTGCTAAATGGTGACTTAGAGAAAGCTAAACACATTTAGCACGTTATATTAAAAATGTGAATTTTTTTAATGGTTTTGTAAATGGTGAAAACTGGTCTTTGTGGTGAAGCTCCTTCTTTGAATTCTGAATTTACGCATTCAGCAGTTGCCCTGTTGGGGCGAAGATGCCAGTGTCAGTGTTGAACTAGGGTGGCTGGAGTCGGAGGTCTTGGGTGAGGGCCCCCACTTCTATCTGCCGTGTTTCAGGCCATTCCCGGATGGAGCCCACAATCCGTGCTTGGCTCCTTGTGGGAAGGATGGTTTAGGCAACACGGAGGACTTGAAATAAAATCTTTTTTTTTTTCTCGTTACCCAAGTTAAAAGCAGTGTGTGCGTGTATGTGTGTGTGTGCGTGTATGTGTGTGTGTGCGTACTTGTCTGCAGCAGACTTTTATTGGGTGTCCACTGTGTGCTGGCACTGTCCCAGGTGCTGGCCCACGACTGTGCCTAGGGCATACGAGCTCTGTGTGTGGGGAGGGGGCTCCCTGGGCCCCTGGTTTCCAAGCGCGGCTCCTCCCTGATGAGAAAACTGGCGCCCACTGGCCTGAGAGCAGGCACATCCTACGAGATGTGGCACATTGGTTCGTTCGCTCGGCCACACCCTGTGCCCACACATTGTAAGGACTGGATGCGTTTTCTTGCATGAACTCACTTCAGATGGCTAGTGCACTTGTATTCCTTTTTATTCTTTTTCAGGAGTAATTTGGGACTCTCAAAAGAGACAAATTTGTTAAAAATGGCAAAAGAGGGCTAAAACGTGTAAATGAGTTACGGCTGGGGAAATTCTAAACAGAAAGCAGGTTCCTGCTGATGTGCGAATGGGCCGCGTGACTGTGGAGGTGACTTTGGCTCACGGTGAGCAACCGTGGGAACAGGTTTCCAAGCACATCCATCCTCGTGCATTTTCAGACATTCAGAATCGTGATCACCAAGCAAAATGATAATTGTCATTAATTTCACATTGTTTAGAATCATGAAGAACAAAGATTGACCATTTAAAATCTTTAAAGAGGGCCGGCTCCGTGGCTTAGTGGTTAAGTGCGCGCGCTCCGCTGCTGGCGGCCCGGATTCGGATCCCGGGCGTGCACCAGCACACCGCTTCTCCGGCCATGCTGAGGCCACGTCCCACATACAGCAACTAGAAGGATGTGCAACTATGACATACAACTATCTACTGGGGGGGGCTTTTGGGGAAAAAAAAGGAGGAGGATTGGCAATAGATATTAGCTCAGGGCCGGTCTTCCTCAGCAAAAAGAGGAGGATTAGCACGGATGTTAGTTCAGGGCTGATCTTCCTCACAAAAAAATAAATAAATAAAATAAAATCTTTAAAGATACTGAAAAACGTGCCAAGATAATTGCATGCTGCCCTATGGCAGTTTAAAAGTGTGACCAGTCAGAATGCCAGGCCGATCGTTTTCTCCGTGGTCGTCATTTGGGTGGGATGTTGGGATGAGGGTCAGGCCAGGGACTTCCCTAGCCTCTGTCAGCCTGGGTGACTCCACCCAGACGGGACCCCACAGCTGTTCTGCACACAGCCTGGCGGGAGCTGCGATGCCCCTGCCAGCCCCTGTAAGCAAGCATGCATGCCTGTGGAGGGGTCTCGTCACCCTGCCCAACAGGGGCTCCCCTTTCCCCTCACCCAGAGCAGGGACCCAGCCCCCCCACCTTGGGGCTGCAGGTTCCCCCAACGTTGGGATGAACCCGAGTGGGGGCTGCTGAGCCTGGGCAGGGCCTGGTGCCCAGATGTGACAAGGTGACAAGGTGACAGGGCTGCCTCTTGCTTGCAGCTCCATGTCGTCCTTTGAGAAAACCAGTGAAGGCACAACATGCCCCAGTGCTCGGCTGAGTTCCCTCAGTGTAGCATGGGCTTCGGGAGGTGCCCAGGCCCCCAGCTTGACGGCTGCTGTTCTCGTCTGCAGAGAGCGTACTGTGGCCAGTGCAGCGAAAGGATATGGGGTCTCGCGAGGCAGGGCTACAGGTGCATCAACTGCAAACTGCTGGTCCATAAACGCTGCCACGTCCTCGTCCCGCTGACCTGCAACAGGCATATGGTGAGTGTGGGCCAGGTGAGGCCCTGGGGGGCGCGGGGTGCTTCAGAGCGCACAGGGGAGGTTCGGGTGCGGCCTTGAGCCTATTGTCCACGCCAACCCTGGTGACCCTTGGTCCTCCTGTCCCAGTGGCATCCTGACACTGTCCCTGCCACTGATGAGACAAGAGGAGGGGGCATCTGTGGGCTGCAGAGTGATGGCCCGGGCCAGCGGTCTGGGACAGGACCCTTCTTCCCGAGCCCTGAGAGCCCCCAGCGCTCTTGGGGGGCCTCCAGTGCCCTCTGTGGCTCTGGGCTGGGGGTGGGGAGTAGGCTGTGGCTCGTCCATACCCCAGTCATAAAGCAGTTCATGGGGGGGCTGCAGAGAGGAAAGCCCCGTGCTGCTCTGCAAGTCAGGGGACCCGGCCCCGTGGGCTGTGTGCCTCTCACCACCAGCCAGCAATCGTGAACTTAAAGCGTCCAGGCCCTTCAGCGGTTATTGACCAACTCTCCCTTGCTGAGCATCCAGGCCTCCACTCACGTTCCAGCTGTGCACGCGAGTGGGAGCCTGGATTGAACAACCAATCCCTCCTGGGTGCAGCGGGTGTACACGTTGGGACAGTGGGCTCATCTGCATCCTGTCACAGTGTGAACAGGAAGGACGCCTCCGGGGCTGATAGGCTGTCACCTCTCATAGGACAGGGACAGAGTCTGATCTGGGTCTCACTCCGATGTTGGCAAAGCACCAGGACATGGGGTCCCCCCACAGACCGGTGCGGAGTGAATTGGCATGGTCTTTCTAGGGGTCCTTTCAGCCGTGGCTGCCAAAACCATAAAGGCGCACATACCCGTTGATCCCCTAGGTCCACGTTAGCCTAAGAAGTGAGGCCAGCCCCGAAGATGTAGACAGTCGGGTTGAGGGACGCCGACGCCTGGAGCCTAGATGTCTGCCGATAGGGAGCTGTCTCAGTTGTGACCTCAGCCCCACGGAACCCCGCGAGCTGGAGACGGGGCTCAGTGCCTGGCTGCTGACAGATGCGCATGACATGGCAGTGGGAGGGTGGGGAGAGGTTACCAAGTGTTATATAAAAACATCCATTTTATAAATCACCTGCTGGAAAGGTCACAGCCTGAGGTGCCTCTGCCTGTGGAATCACAGGTGGTTTCAGTGGCTGTCTTTCCCTTGTCCGTGCAATAATGTAACTGCTGTATTTGTATGAATGTATTCTGATACTTGTTACAATGTATGTACTAGGTGATTTAAAACGTCACATAGTGTCTCCAAAAGCTACCTGGTCACTTTGTAACGCCCGTCTCTCTGCAGGATTCTGTCATGCCTTCCCAAGAACCTGCAGTAGATGATAAGGACGATGTGGACCTTCCTCCTGAGGAGACCCATGGAAGTAGGGGCTGCTTTCTTCTCGTTGGCAGAGCACAGGCTCTGTTCGCCCTGGAATGCCTGTTTGCCTCCCCTTTCTGACCAGGAATCTTTTCTACATCCCAGCTACTCTCCAAGGGTCAATATTGGCGAGCATGGCTGCCTCGCTGCAGGCTGGGGACATGCTGTCTAGGGCCTCCCCTCATCCCTGGGCAGAGGTGGGCAAGGTGGGGTGGCTTTCCCTGGGTGCCCATGTCTCCATGAGTTGCTGCTGTGGGAGTCCAGGGGTGGGGATTTCCCTTGCCAACTTCAGGAGTTCTAGAAGGCACTTGGTGCAGTAGCCACCACGGCCAGGCTCCTCCCACAAGTAGGCTGCTGCACAGAGCTGATCTCTGTGGGAGGGCCTGCTAGGTGGCCACTGTGCACACGATATGCTGTTGCATGGTTCTTGAGTTTTAGTGGATTTTTTTTTTTTTTTTTTGGTGGAGGAGAGACTTTTTTTAATGCTAAGAAGCATTCAGAGAGAAATTTTGAATACCAATTGGACTGATGGCCCAGCTCTGAGCTTCTAAAATTATGTGGATTATTACAAGGGTGTGTGAGACCCCTAGCCCTCACTTGATAAATATGAGTTCCGGCCCCTAGGAGCCCTTGAAGGTTGAAATGAGACCACGGAACATAAAGCAGTTAGCACAGCACCTCACACAAAGAAGACTCCTAACAAACAACCCACCCCCACACCCAACCATCCACCCATCTATCCACCCAATCATCCATCCATCCAGCTATCCAACCATCCATCCATCTATCCACCCACCCATCCACCCACCCATCTACCCAACCATCCATCCACCCACCTATCCACCCAACCATCCATCCATCCATCCATCCACCCGCTCATCTATCCACCCATCCACGCATCCACCCAACCGTCGATCCATCCACCCAGCCACACACCCACCCATCCTCACACCCAACCATCCATCCATCCACCCACTCACCCAGCCATCCTTCCATCCATCCATCCGCCCATCCATCTACTCAACCCACCCGCCTATACAACCATCCACCCACCAACCCACCTATCCATCCATCTGTCCATCTGCATACTCTAAGAACAAAGACTGGAAGACTAAACACCAAAATCTTATGACTAGTTACTTCTAGATGAATCATTGGGGAAACATCGCAAATGCAGATTCCCAAGCCCCACTCTGAGATATTCAGAGTCAGCAGGTCTGGGTAGGGCCCAGGAAGCTGCATTTTCTTCAGACTCTAGTAGAGTCAGATGTGGCTGCTCCATGCATGTGCCCTGAGCACCGCTGGCTTGGCCTGGGCCACTGTGTGTCTGCAAAGGTGCCAGGGTCCATGGGCTCCCTGTGTCTCAGGCCATACCACTGACAATACCCGTAACATCCATTTTTCCTCCTCTCTGCATTAGTTGCTTATATTTCTTCAACCCGGAAACATGACAACATTAAAGATGATTCTGAGGTGAGTATCTAAAATGACTCATTGGAATTTCCAGCATTCTTTTTAGACGTTCATTAGCTCATTTCTGGGGCATTTATGGAAACTGAAATATGTACTAGATATGTTTGAGAATTGCTGCTCGTCTTAAATGAGGGCATGGTCTTGTGTACTTCCAGGATGATGCACCCTGTACCGTTTAGGGCTGAAGTCCCATGAAGTCTTTCAGATATTTAGCACAGGTAATCTTGAATAGCTAGGGGGAGAGAGGACAAGTGAATATGGCAGGAAGTGAGCCACTGCTGGAACTCAGAGGTGAGGCTTTGGTGCTCACTGTACGATTCTCACACTGGTGCAGAGCGGGGGCGCGGGACGTCGTTGGCTGAGTCTCTGTGAACCCAAGTGGCAGGCCTCGTTTGAGCCTGGTTGGGGGACTTCTCTGACCGTAGGATCCTGTTCTGTCAAGTTTGAATAGCGATCGCACCTTTTCCTGAGGGTAAACGGGGAGTGTTTGTGTGAACACTGAGCACCAGGCCCCACACACAGGAAGCTTTCCACAGCACTGACCATTGGTGTGACTGTTTCCACCTCAGTACAGGGTGGCTCAGGCCATCACAGCAGGCCACAAGCAGCACAGCGACCTCCACAGCGGAAACCCCACGTGCCTGTGCTTTGAGAAGTGGGAAGGCTGGCCCTGGGGCCTGGGACCACTTGCCTTTCATGTCTTCTTGGTCCTCCTGGTGGCTGGCATGGCCTACGGAGATCAACGTGTGTGAATCGCTGCCGATTGGTTTTGTCCTTTGTCCCGTCTGAGGTGTGTCTGTGGCTGGGTGGCAGGGTCAGGAGTGCACTGACTGATGCTCACGGGATTCACTGGGAGCTTGGCTCTCCTCTCGCTCCCAGTGTTCGCATGTTTTCATTTTCTAGACCATCTTCTGTCCCCTGACAGGTGTCCCCTCGCTGGAAAATTGGTGCCTCATGAAGCAGCTAGACGTTGCACCCATGGGTACCCCTCACCCGGGGCACGGGGCCCTCTGGCTTTGGGGGACGGGGTGTGTGGTGTGGCAAAGTCAGTCTGTCGGGACTGTGAGGTGGGGGGGCACCAGCCCAGGACGTGGCTCTGGAAACACGGGCTGCTGCTGCGTATTAGCTGGGTCTTGCTTGGGGCACATCCTTCATGAATGCCCAGAGGCTCTTTGGGGTCCAGATCCTGGCACCGTCTTCTGCTGTGTGTGCAGTCTCCCCAGCACCCTCTCCGCCCAGACAGCAGAGTGGGTCCAGGGCTGGCTTTTGAGCTGCAATTTTTGCTAAATTTTATTTGCATAAAAGCCTTACTTTATTTTCCCATTGTGTGTGTTCCAACACCACCAAGCAATTCTTCAGTTCTCAGTGGCCGCTGACCATGTGTCCTACAATATAACCCAATTCTGACACTATCTACCTGGAGATGGTATCAGATCCCGCAGGTTAAGGGTTCAGTCCCCCATGACTCCCCCCAACCCCCCCACTTCAGATGCCAGTTGTAAGTCCAGGTTGTCACCTGTGCTTCTGACTGACCAGCTATAAATTGCGTGTTGCCACGACCCCCTCTAAAGTTTCGTTTAATTTGCTAGAGCAGCTCACAGAACTCAGAGAAACATTTTACTCACTAGGTTACCAATTTATTATAAAAGGATACAACTCAGGAACTGCCCGATGGAAAAGATGCATAGGGTAAGGGATGAGGAAGGGGCAGAGAGCTTCCATGCCCCACTCTCCCCGAATCTCCTCGAGTTTACCAACCAGGGAGCTCTCCGAACCCCGTCCAGAATTTTGTGGTTTTCCTAGAGGCTCCATTACACAGGCATGGTTGATTAAATCATCGGCCTTTGGTGCTACAGTCAACCTCCAGCCCCTCTTCTCTTCCCGGAGGTGGAGTGGAGGGACCGAAAGTTCCAACCCTCCAATCCCACGGTTGGTTCCCCTGGCAACCGGCCCCATCCTTAGATGCTTTCCGAAAGTCACCTCATTAACATAACAAAAGACACCTTTCTAGCTCTCCTCACTTAGGAAATTCCTAGGGTTTTGGGAGCTGTATGACAGGAATGGGGTCGTAGAACAACTATGTATTTCTTATTATAAATCATAATATTGCAATTTGTCTTTGGTCCTTTGTGGGCTTTGGGTGATAAATAAGGCGCAACAGATTGTGTTCCTGAGCAAGGAAAACGGTCACACGACTGGTGTTCTCAGCCTCAGTCCAGGAAACCTCAGGGAACAGCTCCACCTTGCGAAGCCCACACCTTTCCCAAAATAGATGTCACCCCCCTGACTTCTAGATTTTTCTCCCTGGTCATTCTGTGTCTGGGATGAGTCAGGAGCATAGTTACCTCCTTCCTTCACCACAAATATCCTTGCCAGAAGCAGTTCACAGGAGGGAAGCCTGTGTTCTCAATCCCGTTGCCTTTCTCTTTCATTATGTGTTTCCGATAATACCTGCTGGGGCCTTGACAGGTCTTTGCAGGCGTCAGCTAGTTACGCTTTATCATCCAGAGGGAGGGCCAGGTGGCTCTGGGTCGGCCCCAATGGCCCTGGGGCATGTGAGCCTGTGGTCACCTCTTCAGCCATCCTGGCATCCCAGATCGCTCCTAGAGGGGCCACCTGTGGCTGGTGACGGGCCACGGTCTGTGAAAATGAGTAGCTTTTGGATTTCTAGCTTCTTCCAATCTTTAGTTCTTGGTTTTCTCTCAAGTGGGGTGGGGGGTCCTTAGGACGTGGAGTGCAGACTCGTGAGCAGAACTGGGGCTCTGAGCTCTGGGGCACACGCGGGGTCCTGCGAGGTTGGCACGGCTGATGTGTAATTCTCTGAGTCCCGCACAGGTTCCCGCTTCACTGTCTCTCCCTTTGTCCTCCCCTCCCTCAGGACCTCAAGCCGGTTATCGATGGGATGGATGGAATCAAGATATCTCAGGGGCTCGGGCTGCAGGACTTCGACCTCATCAGGGTCATTGGGCGCGGGAGCTATGCCAAGGTCCTGCTGGTTCGCTTGAAGAAGAATGACCAGATTTACGCAATGAAGGTGGTGAAGAAGGAGCTGGTCCACGACGACGAGGTGAGAGCCGCCTCCCGCCGAGGTAGCGCACGTGTGCTGGGTCGTGGTGCATTTGCCGGAATCTTCGTTCGGGCTTCATGTACTTTTTTCTTTTAATTAAAGTAAAATGCTCATAACAAAATTTGCCATTTTAACCATTTGAAAATATACAGTTCAGTGGCCTTTAGCACATTCACGATGTTGTGCAACCACCACACTATCCAGCTCCAGGACATGTTCAGCCCCCTGGAAGGAAACCCTGTTCCCATTAAGCAGTCACTGCCCTCCCCCCTCCCCCCTCCCCTAAAACTCGAATCTGCTTTCTTTCTGTGGATTGGCCTATTCTGGACGTTTCATTGAAATGGAATCATACAGTCTGTGGCCTTTTGTGTCTGGCTTCTCTCACTTAACGTGTTTTCAAGGTTCATCCACATTGTAGTGTGTATCAGAGCTTCGTTCCTTTTTATGGTCAAACAATATTCTGTTTATAAATATACTGCATTTGGTTTACCCGTCTGTTGCTGGACGTTGGGTTGTCTGCACCTCAGGGCTGTTGTGAACGGTGCTGCTGTGAACACTCGCGTACAGGTGTCTGAGTCTCTGTTTCCAGTTCTCGTGGGTATTTTCCCAGGAGTGGAATTGCTGGGTCACAGGGTAATATAATACTCTGTTTAACTATTTGAGGAAGCGTAGCTGTCTTCCACAGCAGCTGCACCGTTTCGTATTCCCACCAGCAATGCACAGGGTTCCCACATCTGCACGTGCTCTCCAGCACTTGGTATTTTCTGGTTTTTGGTTATCGCCATCCTAGTGGCTTTGAAGTGGTATCTCGTGGTGGTTTTGCTTTGCGCTCCCATAAAGACTAATCGTGTTGAGCATCTTTCCGTGGGCTTCTCAGCTTCAGGTACTTGTGATCTTTTTCTTTCACACCTGAATGCAGGTTACATCTCTTAGGAGCAGAGAGAAGACTGAGGTGTAGATAACAATGATGCTGTTATTGAGCAAGTGCTAGCACGTAAGGTGGCTTGGTGCACACAGAGCCACCAGGCCACAGAAGGCCCCGCCCTCCCCTGGCCCCAGCCCGTGGTTTGGAGGGTAGAGCTGGGGCTGAGCTTGAGCTCTTACTTGCCCTCCCAGCCCGGTGCATTTCTGCAGTGCACAGACTACCCAACTGGCCCCTCACCCTGGGTGCTGAGCTCACAAGTGGGTGGTGGTGTCTGCACCTTACAGTGGAGGAAGTTGAGGCTCTGAGAGGTGCGGTGCCCTGCCAGCATCTCCACCGCTGGTCAGCGGCACCACAAGGTGAATCCAAACCCCTTCCCAGCACCGGCTGGCTGGAAAGTTAAGGGGATGTGTGAGGTTACGTTTGCAGAACCCTCAGAGCAGAGGCCTTCAGAGGAGAGCCACGGCTCAGGTTTGTTCCCTTAGCATCTTCAAATCATCCCCTGTGGGCCGAGATGTGGAGGTGGGACTTCTAGGTGGTCTCTGGGGAAGAGTGTGATTCTAGGAGCTGGTGAGCGGGAGCCAGGTGTATGTGTGCGCACCTGTCTGTGTGTGCCTGTGTTTGTGAGAGACACGGGTGTCCCATGGCCACACATCTGGCCCGTGGACATCAGGCTTTAGGGGCACTGCAGTGGGCTAGATGGTGGCCACCAAGGAGACATGTCCACATCTTAATCCGTGGAACCTGTGAATAGGAACTCATTTGGAAATGGGGTCTTTGCAGAATGTAATTAAGAATCTTGGGGAGATCCTGGATTATCTGGGCAGGCCTGGAATCCAACAACAAGTGTCTTTTTAGAGAAAGGCAGAGAAAGATTTGAGACAGACAGAAGAAAAGACAAACACACAGAGAAGTTGATGTGAAGAGGGAGGCAGAGAGACAAGCTGAGGCACTCCTTGAGGCACAGAAGCTGGAAGAGGCAGGAAGGATCCCCCCTAGGGCCTTTGGAGGGGTCGTGGCCCTGCTGACACCCTGATTTCACACTTCTGGCCTCAGAACAGTGAGAGAATAAATTTGTCATATTTTTAGCCCCCAAGTCTGTGGTACTTTGTTAAAACAGCCTCAGAGTCTAGCAGGCGGGAAGGAGGCAGCCACAGCTGAGCGGAAGGCCCTGGTGGCTTGATCTCAGAGGGGCAGGGGAGAGAGGGAAGAGGAGTCTTGGCGACCCCCCAGGGTTTCCAGCCTGAGTGCCTGGGTGCCCGGGTGCCTTTGGAGAACAGATGGCGGGGCTGGTCGAGAGCTCTGGGGGAGGCCTGCTGTGCAGTGTGAGGCCCTAGTGGAGATGCTGAGCAGCCATGGCATGAGCAGGTCTGGAGCTCGGGAAGAGGGGGAAGAGAAGAGTTAGGGCTCAGGACTGAGCCTGAGGAGCAGAGACCGGATGTCTTTGGCCCAGTAAAGGGAAGCTCACTGAGAGTCTGCTCATTTGTTTCCACACACCTTCATGAGAAGGCAGCCCTACTTCGGGCATATCCCTTTCCCTCTCGCTTTCCTAGCCCCTAGGGTGAGGGGTTTAACCTTGCAAGTTTTGGGAACCTCGTCCAGCTCTGCTTTCTGGGGTTGGAATGGAACCAAAGACATGGAATCATCATGACCCTAAAGTTGACTTGACTTTGCAGCTTTCCCCCAGCTCTCATGTGAACTGGAGGGAGACAGCCTGTGGGAGGAGCTGGTGCTTGGAGATGGGTATAGTACATTGGGGGATCTGCATAGCCCTCCACCCTCCATTTCCTCATGTCTTAAGTGCAGATAATAATACCAACCTCCCAAGACTGCCATGAGGCAGTGCATGGACAACCTGTAGCCCAGAGGCCAGCACACAGCTGGCGGTGGGGGCTTTGATGGTGGTGGTAGAGATGGTGATAAATGATGATGATGGTAGATGATAAATAATGGTGCTGATAGCGGTGGAGATGGTGATGGTGGTGATGATGATGGTGATGGTGGTGGTGATGATGATGGTGGAGGTGGTGAATGATAATGGATGATGGTGGTGGAAATG